TGGTGTTCTGAATAGTCCACTGTTTTAAATCACCCATAAGGCCAGTGTTCAGTTGTCTAGAATGCCCCCTGCTCTCTCCTCTCAGACCCAACATTTCTCTCCAATTAAGTCAAAACCTGAGTAGGATTTTATCAGTGACACTTTTTCTAGTTTCAATAAGTTGGGTATGGTTATTTATGTATGATATTTAACATTTGGGAAAGCTGAGTGAAGGGTACAGCTAAACATTTTTTACTGTTTTTTTGCAGCTTCATTTTAAGTTTAAAATAATTTCAAGCTGGAAAAGTTTAAGTTTCTTTTATTAAAAAGATTAAAGCCTAAAGTTTTATAACAGATACCTCCTTCCCTTGGGCTAGGTCTCTATTATACCTTAATTATTATACCAAATTAAACCTTAAAATGAAGCTACTGAACGAAGTTAGTAGTGGGCAAAGGCATTATGCTAAACCTTTGCAGTCATGCACAATACACTTTGATATGAACGAGTTAATAAGGAAAATGGCTTCCTGAATGCTGATTGTAGACAAAGCTAGGCTGGAAATGTTACTATCTTGGGATAGCTGGAGTAGGGAGGGAGAGAGAAGGACATTGTGATTAGCAATATTAAGCAAATTCACCTGAGCACAATATTATTAAATATATATTTGCTCTTTTTAGAGCTACCATTTTGGGATGCACTCTGACCTCTACACTAGCCCTGTGGTGCCTGAGAACTTCTATTTTACTGACCACTGGATCGTTGCAGTTAGTTGTTAAACGCCTGTCTCGCCCCATTGACAGTAGTTCCAACGTGGGGGGAGGCGCATGAAAAAGGAACTGCCGGTCTGTCTCAGCACAGCATTCCCAACATGTGGCCTGTCCTTAGTACTCTCTACCACTTAATGAATGAATGCTAAGCACTATGCTAGGCCTTTTTACGTATATTGATAGCATCTCATTTAAATCTCACAGCAACCTTGTGAAATAGGCATTTGTCACATTTCACAGAGAGGAGACTGTGACTTGAAGCGCTTAGGTAACCTGCCCAAGATCATTCAGTTTGTGAACTTCAGACTCCAGGTTATTTTCACCCTAATGCTCTTGCTCTAATGAGTATGCATACTGTCTCTTGACTTGACTTCCTGTTTATTCCGCCACTGAGCTTCTGCTGGTGTGAATGACCTGAACTGACTAGTATTCGGATTTCTCACTGTCAAATAGCAAAAGAAGAAAATATTATATTTATCTCGGTAGAGAATGATGGGGGTTTAGATAGGACTGGTCAAAGACTTGAGTAATGTGGGTGTGCTCTTCTGGAAATGGAACGCGATGTGGCGTAAGAGCGCATGCTCAGCCCGGGGTTGGTTCAGAGAAGCAGGGTGTGTGTGGGCCGAAAGGGGTCATCTTCCTTACGTAAGAAAAGTATTCTTATTCTAAACAATTCAAATATTCATAAGCATAAATATTATATATAAAGCGAAAGTCTTCCACATCTTATCTCCAGAGATAACCACTGTAATAGAAGGATATACCTATATTCTTCTCCATGTTTTTTCTGCGTAACCTCATTTTGAAAAAAATCAACAAATATTTATAGAAAGCCGGGTAAATGGGATCATACTATACATCTTCTGTAATTTACCCTCTTTCTCAATTAAATAATCTATTGCTTTAGTTTTTTGTGGCTTTGAAACAAATCACCATAAATTTATCAACATCATTTATTATTTAATGGTTCTGTAGGTCAGAAGTCTGGTCATGGCATGGTTGGGTTCTCTGTTCAAGGTTTCACAGGCTGAAATCAAAGTTCCAGCCAGGCTGAATCCTCTGGAGGCTCTGGGAAAAAACCCACCTCCAAGCTCATTCAGACCATTGACAGAATCAAGTTCCTCATGGTGGTAGGACTGGGGGGTACCTGTTTCCTTGCTGGCTGTCAGCCCCCAGAGGCCACCCATGTCTCTTGCCACCGGGCCTCCCCCACCTGCACAGCCAGCAGTGGAGAATGTCCCTCAGAGCGAATCCCTCTCACATTTCCAGTGTCTTGTGCCAGTCCTTTTAAGGGCTTCACTGATTCTGTTAGGTCCACTGAAGATAATCTATCTTACACTCAACTGATTTGGGACCTTAATTACATCTGCGAAGTCCCTTCACCACAGCACCTATGTTAGTACATGACTGGACAACTGGGAGAAATTTTGGGTATAAGGCAGGGGGAGTGGGAATCTGGGGGCCAGTTTATCATCCCAACACAGATATCGTGGTTTATCTGTCCACTTCTCTAACTATAAAACGATGTCATTCTATTTAATAGCTACATAGTCTTTCACTGTATGATATATTATAATTTAAACAAATCCCCTATTAGTGGCTATTTTACTACTTCCAGCTATTTGCCTTTTAAAAATACACAATAAACATTTCGGTTCTTAAATGCTTAGGTACCTATGTACTTCTGTAAGTTAGCATCCCAGAAGGATTGGGTTGGCCAAAAAGTCCGTTAGGTTTTTTCTGTACAATGGCCCAAGTAGTGCTTAGTTGTCTTTTAACTTCATTCAAAACAGTTTTGTTAGATTGTATCGTGACAGCTGTCATATCAGTGTGCAAATTAAAAACAAACTTATCAAAATTGGTGAATTTTTGTGCAGCCATTTTAATATTAAAGATGGAAGAAGATACAACATTCTTGGCATATTAGGCTTTATTATTTCAGGAAAGGTAAAAACACAACTGAAATGCAAAAAACATTGTGCAGCATATGGAGAAGGTGCTGTGATTGATCAAATGTGTCAAAGTAGTTTGTGAAGTTTCTTGATATTACTGACATTTTGGCCAAATAATTCTTTGCTGTAGAACTGTCTTGTATATTGGAAGATGTTTAGCAGCACCGCTGGCCTCTACCCACCTAAAGCCAATAGCAGAAGATAGCTGACATACTCAAAGTGTCCAAATGAGTAAAGTTACTGGTGAAAATGAAAAAGGTATCTTATTTTAAGGGGAAAAACAATATGGACTTTTTGGCCAACCCAATAGAACTTCAGGGTATAAGGGTTTACACCTTTGATAGACACTTCCAAATTGCTCTCCAAAATGAGAATATCAATTTATATCTCCGATGACATTATATAAAAATGGAAGTCGCTAATTCTTACATTTAAATTCCCGTCAAAGACTGTGTCATCAGGAGACTGAAAGTGTAATGCCTAAGGGCATGGACTCACAGTCTGCTTGTCTGGCTGCTAGTCTTGCTTTTTTGGTTTCCTAACTGTATGACTTAGGAAAGGTGGCTAAGCCTTGGTTTCTGCATCTCTCAAATGAGGATGTGGGGGTGGGTGAAAAAGGTGAAGGGGCCCTGGCTGGTGTGGCTCAGTGGGTTGAGTGCCAGCCTGAGAACCAAAGTATCACTGGTTCGATTCCCAGTCAGGGCACATGCCTGGGTTCCAGGCCAGGTCCCCAGTAGGGGGTGCACAAGGGGCAAGCACACATTGAAGTTTCTGGCTCTCTCTTTCCCTCTCCCTTCCCCTCTCTCTAAGAATAAATAAATAAAATCTTTTTCTTTAAGTTGAAGGGATTAAGCAAGAAACAAACAAAAAAAAAACCCTCATTGACACAGACAACAAACAGTATGGTGATTACCAGAGGGAAAGAAGGGTGGGGGAGGTAGAAGAGGGCAAAGGGGGGATAAATGGTGATGGAAGGAGACTTGACTTGGGCTGGTGAACACACAATACAGTATACAGATGATATAGTATAGAAATGTACACCTGAAACCTATGTAATTTACAATGTTCTGCAATTTCACCCCAATAAACTCAATTAAAAAGTCTAAATAAATAAAAAAATAAAATGAGCATGATAATAATGACATTGCTTCATATTAGTTATCAGTTGCTGTGTAACAAATTATTCCAGAACTTAGTGCCTTAAAACACACCATTATTGTCTTATCATTTCTACCTGTGGGTTGGGAACCTGGGTGTATCCTCACTGGGTGTGTGTGGTCAGCGTGTCTCACTGCTGCAGTCGCCGTGGGAGCCAGGGCTGTGGTCATTGCAAGGCTTGGCTGGAGGAGGAGCTGTTTCCAAGTGAACTCACATGGCTCTTGGTGGTCCTCGGGTCCTCTCTGCCTCTTGGCTGGAGACATCAGTTTGTTGCCATGTGGGTGTCTTCATGGGACAGCTTACAACATGACACCTGTTTCCCCTCAAAGTGCCAAAGATGGAAACCACAATATTTTTGTAACTTAATCTTGAAAATGACATCCCATCTCTCTGCTGGGTTCTAGTCATTAGAAGCAATTCACTAAATCCAGCCCACACTTAGGGTTAGGGTGTGATACACGGTGTGAATATCAGCAGGCAAGGGTCACTGGGGTCATCTTAGAGGCTTACTGAGCCTAGGCCTGAAGGGGCAGGAATGGTACCCAGAACTTGGAGAGGGGAGCTTCAGTTTTAGGGGAGAGGTCACTGGCAGCAGTTGTGACCTTCAGAAGAAAGATGCCAAGCAGGGTGAGACTAGAGGAATAAATACCCTGACTCTTCTCTCCTGCCAGTGCCTCTCACCCTGCGAGCCCAGTCAGGAGCCAGAGAGCAAGGCACCATGCTGCCTGTGGCTCGGGTCAGCCCCCAGGACCAATGGGTGAAGGAAAAATGTCCAGCGTGGGCAGACGCAGCTGTTCACTACTGGGATATTTCCTGGGGACGTGACACCATGGCCCCTCACGTAAAAGGAACTGAAAAATAGTTGATCCTGAGTTTCCAGGGTCGGGGCTGGGGCGGGTTGGCAGTGGGAGCACAGTCTCAGGGAGTCTATGGTGTCTCCATAGTGGCTTCCATCTGGGCCAGTGACAGAGATACAGGGAACTCACAGCTGCCAGGTGGGTCCGGAGTAAATGTCTCAGGAAGCCAGTGTGGAATGCGGGTTTTATTTATCTGGGGAATGGCCTTAATGACACAAAAGGCATTTGTTCTGCTTGCTCAGGCTGATGACTCTGACTGATGATTAAACTTTGTTTCCTTGGTCAGGTGCCAGTGCAGGTACCTGCGAAGACCTTAGGGGCTTCCAGAGACACGAGGTTTTCCAAATGCATTCTGCTCCCAGAGCAAGGTCCAGAGCCTGGCTCCAGTGAGACAAGGCAACGCAGCTGGAGGGGAGAAACCTTAATACCACCGCCAGGAAATGAACCCAGGACTCAAGGTGGGCCTTTCCCTTCCCAGCCTCTGCGCCCTGTGGACGTCTGGGTGTGTTTGAACAGTTGTTTCCTGCCTGCTGAAGCGGAGGGCACTGGGGGGAGGCTGCATTTATTTAATACAGCTTTTGTGACAAACTCATACTTATTTCTTAAAACGCTTTATGAAGATGCTATTATAGATGATTGATCTGAAAGACAACTAACTCCCAAAGATGAAGAGGGCACGTGCTGAAACGTCCCAAGGACGTGTTGGAGAGTGATGACGCGTCATCGATCCAGAAGAGTGATGAACTCAACCTTCTGCAATAACGTTTTAACAATTACAAAAGTAAAATATGGATTAAACTATAAAACATCAAAATTGCAATAATAACATTAATGAACAGCAGAATTTATTAGATGGGAGCAGCTATAAAAATGTATAATTTGCAAAGAGTCTATGTTATAAAGTACATAAAGATGTTACTAAACATAAAATTTTTTAACACTTTAAATGTATATAATTCTTGTTTTCTGTGATGGTAATGGTGGTTAGCAGTATGCTAATTAAAAATATTTAATTGAGCGTATCCATTATAGTCTTCTTAGAAAGAATATTTTTATTGCATTTTTAAGTTAGAGTAAAAGTTTTATACCATGAATAAGTAAAACACTGTAAAATATTGTTTACCTTTAACTCATTTGCTTTCATTTATATTTTTGTGTATGTTTAATAATGTTTATAACAGATTATTGCAGTAATACATGATTATAACCTATAAATCAATTATCAATTTATTTGGGGGGGTGTGCATCCTCAAACATTTTTATTGCTACTGTGCACCTTCAAAATACTCAGAGCTTTCTGGACTAATGTTCTCCCGTGAAGACAGTACACTTCCTGAGGCTCCTCAGTGGGTCCCTTGGGAGGCGGTGCTGGAGGGCGAATTGCCAGTTGCTTTCCTGGGGGCGGAAGCAGCCGAGGAAGACAGAGCAGCAGCCGTGGTGAGGGGCTGAGGGCCTCGGCTGATGAGAAGAACGTGGAAGAACCAGAATATTCACGACCTGACCAAGTGACATACAAGCCCCGGAGGCAGGGGTGGAGCGCTGGAAAGCCAGGTCCTCGGGCAGGAGGAAAGAGGAGACCAGCTCCACCCGGCTCTTAACAAACGAGGTAAGTGATGGTGGGCACAGGGAGGCTGGCCGAGCGTTAAAATGGATAGAGTCCATCGGAGAGGTCAGTTCTGGCGTCACCGTGGGTCCTGTCAACACTCGTCATCTCCAGCTCCACATCAGGGGTCACTGGAGTGACAAACCCCGTGGGTGGGCCCTGAAGGAGTGGACTCGGAGGAGGCTGAGGGGCGCTGAGGCTGGTGAGGCTGGTGCGGTCAGTGGGCCCACACGGGTTAGCCAGCCTGGGAGGGAGAGTGCAGCTCCAGGTTTCTCATCGCAGAATCAAATTAGGGAATGGAATGGCCGCTTCCTGGCCTGTGGAGAGAGAGCACTGCTGGGGCACCCCCAACCGGATAAAACCCCAAAGGCAGCCTCTCCCTAACCCCCAAATCCCGAGTTCCTCTGAAATGCTGCCCCATCGGGTGATGTGGTGGTTTAGCAAGTCTTTTACAACAGAAGTCTCTCTTCACTGACCGCATGCAGAGTACCAAACACCTAAAGGAGACCAGGGCACGGCTGCCCTGGGGATGGGGGTGGGGGCACAAAGCCTGCAGGGTGGGAACTCGGGTGTCTGCCCAGGCTTGGTCTTCCCAAATGGTCCCCAAGGTGTGATTTGAGAAACGCTGGAGAAGCAAGTCCAGTCCTCTTGAGGTGGCGTTCGGGGACTCCCTTGACATTACCCCTATTTTATTCTCCCATCTTTGGCCACCCCTGGCTTGGCACTTTATGCCGCAGAGTATAGAACTGCGCCAGTGCATCTGAGCTCTTTCGTGCCTCCATGCTTTTGCTCATTCTGTTCCTTCTGCTTGGAATGCCTATTCACCTACCACCTCTGGCTCATCTTTAGAATTCACCCTTGGTAGCATCCCCTCTGGTATGTCCTCTGGGCTGCCATGGGGTAAACCCTTGAGGCGCCTACCTATGAGAGTTTACCTCCCTGCTGAAATTCTTCTCTATCTGTTACACTCACTAAACCGTATCTTTCCCAAGGGCAGGAATCTTTTGAATCTTGGAGTTCTTCATTCCCATTCCAGCACCTGGCTCAACTGATGCAATTGTTTAAATATAACCAGTTTGGAATGCAAAGGACCTTTCCTGGAAAGCAAGTTTGAGAAGAGACGGGAGGAATGTATGATCAGGGAGGGGCGTAATACCTGAGGAGAGAGAGGAGAGGAGCTGAGGACGAAGGGGAGGGTGGGGCAGAAAAGTAACTGCGTCCGATGTTGCTTAGTGTCACTGCGTCCGATGTTGCTTAGTGTCACTGGAAGTTCACTCGGGGGCCTCGGGCTGGACGCACCTGGCACGGCTGCAGCCGATGGAATGCATGATAAGTAATGCTGGGAAGATGCACTTGGTCCGCAGAGGAGGGGCCTTACAGGAGCTCCGGAGGCTTCTGAGAACTTGCCTGAGACGCTTTGGGCCTCTGGGGACTCTAACCAGCATAATGGACTTTGCAAAGAGAGACAGCTGAGCTAGGAAAGCTAGTTCAAGTCCCTGGGGGATGATGATGGACTGGTTAAGGACGCCCTCAGATCTGTCTGAAGGAGGAAATCTCTTCCTGGAATCGTTTGCTCACGGTTAGGGAGGGGGAGATGAAAAGGCATGGGGTTTTTGTGTTATGAGAAGCAGATGGTTTCCAGGCCTTGCTTTGAAACGTTGAACACGCTCCGCCTTGGTGTCGTCCACGCTCACAAAGACTTAGCTACGCTCCCACGTCCTCCTTCCCAGGCCCGTGACCACTTGCTGGCTTTGTGACCTTGACCAAGTCCTTTAAATTCTCTAAGCCTCAGTTTTCTTGTATGTAAAATAGGTACGTTCATTGTCTCCCACGTCATTTAATCAATGAGATGATCCATGGAAAGTGCTTAATACAGGGCCTGATATACAGTAAATGCTTAATAGCCCTGGCTGGTGTGGCTTAGTGGATTGAGTGCTGGCCTATCAACCAAAGGGTTGCCAGTTCGATTCCCAGTCAGGGCACATGCCTGGGTTGTGGGCCAGGTTCTCAGTGGGGGATGTATGAGAGGCAACCACACACTGATGTTTCACCCCGTCACTTCCCCACTCTCTAGAAAGAAATAAAATCTTTATTTTTAAAGGTTTTTAAAAGACTTTACTTATTTTTAGAGAGGGAGAAAGAGAGGGAGACCAGCTCAGGGCAATAAATAAAATCTTTTAAAAAATAAAGTAAGCACTTAATAAAAATTAGCTGAAATGATGACTGCTGATATCCTGAGCCATTTAGGAAAGTTTAATGGAGAATAAAAGGTAGTCAAACCATCCAGAAGCACAAAGCCTTGCTACTCGAAACGTAGCCGTGGGCAGCAGCTTTGGCATCTTGTGGGCACTTGTTAGTGGGCTCAAAGGTGTTCCTGTCCTACAGGAGCTCACTGCCTCTTGCTGCCCAGCGGACAGGTGCAGGAGTACCCTGGGCTGGAGCCTTTGCACACAAGGGAGGGCGAGAAGGCAGGCTGGGCTGGGAGGACACACCAGCCTGACCCTCTCCAGGCGACTCACCTGATTCTCCACCGGACCCACGATGGTCAGACCCCTCTCCACCTTACCAGCAGGTTTGTGGGGTATCTAGTATTTTGCCTGCCACATACTGAGTGTGTATTCCAGGGTCACTGTGAGGACAGATCAAAGACAGGTGAATACTGTGGTTATAAACATAAGGACCAAAGGGGAAGCCCTTCCCTGTCTCCCGTCTGTCCTGGGCCTGCTAAACTGTGCCTTTGGGACTGCAGGGGGGACCACCATGTCATGCCCTTCGCAGCGTTGCCTCTAACACCCTATGCTCACAGTTTCTCTGGGTGGCTCTGGTGTCACCATAAGATGTATGTTCTTTTAAGGTATGAACAGTCTCCCCAAGTCCCAGGTGGGTTCTTTCTGTGAGGTTAGCAGAGAACCTTTCATCTGCTTCCAGCCAAATTGGGCAGAGGGTGGAGTCCCATTGCTTGGGGAAGAAATTGTGCACAGTTTTGATTCCAAGTCTGGAAGGAAGGGCACGTGACTCTTCGAGGGGCTGAGTCAGTCGGGCACTTCTGTTTGTGCCATCTTCACGGCTTCCCTCCTCCCAGGGACAGCGTCCAGCCAAGAGGGGCTTCAAGTGGCCAGACCTGTGCCGCATTCCTGGCACTGCTGCTTCCTTGCTTCCTACATGCCGTCACCCTAATTGTTTATTTCTCCTGAAAATTGACAGCCTTGTCTACAAAGTGAAGATAATAAACCTCCTTCATAGAGTTATCGTGGGGATCAACATTAAAATGAAAGATGGGTAACACCCAAAATGGGACCCTGGAGAGTGTCCTCGGGGGTGCTGCCCATCATCACCCCAGGGCCTGCGAGACCAGCTTCCCTGACAAAGCAGCTCCCTAATTGAAGGGCACATGCTAGGTGCTCTGTGAGTGATAGTATCACATCTATTGCTACATCTGCTTAACATAGGATTGCCAGTCTTAGCAAAGAAGATTGTCTGAAACATTGTGTGGAATGTACTTGTACTAAAATATTTTTTGTTTATCTGAAGTTCAAATTTAACTGGATATACTTTATCTGACAACTCTTGTTTATGAACATTGGGTCATGGGAGGTTAAATTATAAAGGGAAAACTGTTACTACAAATGCCACAAAAGACATTGCCTACTATAAACAAACTGTTGCATTGGAATTTTTTTCTCCCCAGTAGTAACTGGGGTTATTTCTAAGTTGGCCTTAGGAGAAGAGGAGAAGAGGAACCGGATGAGGCTGAAGGAGGAGGGTGGAAGGGGACGGAGAGCCGGAGGAGCCAGAGGGCAAGGTGACTAAGAGACCTGCTGAGGAGTGAAGAAACACACTCTTAGACCCTTTCAGGGCTTGGAGGTTTACTGAAGAGGTTAAGGGTGGTATGGCCCCTGTGGGGGAAGGACGAAGAGCAGATTGGATGGCCAGGAGTCCAGGGGAAGGGTTGTGTTTTCAATGCCCTGAAGTCACAACTGAGAGCCTTTCCCCTTGCTAGTGGGTCTGCAGTGGGAGGAAGAGAAAGCCAGCCTCAGCCCCTTCCTGGAATCAGAGGGCTTGTTGGTGTGGAGATGATCGGGTGGAACAGGCTGTTTGAAAGGCTTCTGTCAAAACAAGCCAGGAGGCCACCACCTGCTTTTACTCTGTGTGGTTTACCTGGTGGTCCAGAAGAGAGAGAGACCCTGCTCCCAGCAAGTGGGGTCAATTCCTTTCTCTCTGCTTCCCATCCCCCCCCACTCCCCCCACCCCCGTCCCCCTGCCATGCAAAGCCGTCCCACATACTCCCCTGCTGCCCGAACAACCCCTGCCTTCCACTCTCGTTTCTGTTCCTGGGGAGTGAGGTCTTGGTCATTAGCACATACTGGAAGGCAAACCCCAGTGAGGGAATTAGCAAATGAAAAGAAACTCTTGAATCCAACGGAGGAAAAAGGTGGGCAGAAGACACAAGATTGGCAGAAGACGGGTGTCAGGTGTGAACCTTTGCATCCACCCTCCATGTTCCTTCTCCAATTTCTTGGTCCTCCAATTCCTTCCTACATGTTGGTATTAAAATGTCATGTTTTTTCATAAATGAAGGTCATAATAAATGATCATTTT